GGGGAGACTTTATGGCCTTAATTAGTTTTCCTACAAATGATTTGTTAAGACTAAGACCTGGATCACATGTTCATCATGAACATGTCAGGAATTAGGTTTGATGTTTCATGAACTGTGTTTTAGTCCGAAGGTGAATTAGTTACACCTCAGGCTGTTTTCTATGAACTCAATGAATATTTGTTAGAAATAGACCAATCAGCTGATCGGCCATGTTGGAATAGAGTTAACCAATGACCAAGCAGGAAGATGAAGCTACAGCAGCCTCCTGCTGCCCTCTGCTCAATTTCTTAAAACCAGGACGCTCTTTTATCTACTTTTAACTGTCCAGGTTCTTCTGAGGCTTGTTAAATATGTTTAAATAATTTTAATGTGAGAATCTGACGAGATCATAGACTGCCTGGTTCCAAAATAAAAGCTCTTAAAATAATAAATATGTTGTCTTTCTTCTGCTGTATCTAAAGATTAGCTCAATCAGTCGTCCTTTCCTGTTTCACATTAGTTCACTTTAATAAATGTGTGTTAGTTATTATGTATATTTGATTAGCTCTCTTTAATGAAAGTAGTTATCTTTTGAATAAATGTATTCTGGTTGTCGTGTGCAGGCCCGGGCACCAAACTCTGCAGTGGTGGTTGTGGGAACACATTTGGATCTGATAGACACCAAGTTTCGAACCGAGAGGCTGGCGACGCTGAGAGCTTATGTTCTGGCTCTGTGTCGATCCCCATCAGGAGCCCGAGCCAAAGGTTACCCCGACATCACGTACAAACACCTGCAGTAAGGAGACTTCTGGTTTTCTGTCAGACGGTGCTCTACCAGAGGGATTGGTAGAAACATTTAGTATTCAGGCTCCTGTCAGACAGATTTAAGTTCTCAATAAACCTTTATGACTTCACTTACATCTTAACTTTTGTGTGTGTGTGTGTGTGTGTGGGGGGGGGGGGGGGCTGTAGTGGAGTGCTACTTTTATATTTTAGACTGATCTGAGCTGCTATAATCTCCGCTGCCTGTCCAGAAGTGGCAGAGCTGCGTGGAGGGTGGGGGATTTGGTGGGTGGGGTGCCTTGCTTGAATTTTGGTAGGGGAAACACTGGGTACACTCTTGGTACATCTGTAACTTTACTTTGTTCTGCCCATAACATCTGATCTGCTCAAGATAATTTACCACATACACATATGCATCATAACCAGATGGCGCACCACTGACACTTTTCAACACCCCTGCACCAAGGTCAAGGTCAAATGTTCAAAGTAAAAAAAGAGTGGTATTAACAGCAGGTTTACAGACTGTCTCTTGTCCCATTTGGACAGCAGGTTTACAGACTGTCTCTGGTCTCTGTTGGACAGCAGGTTTACGTACTGTCTCTTGTCCCATTTGGACAGCAAGTTTACAGACTGTCTCTTGTCCCATTTGGACATCAGGTTTACAGACTTCTCTCATCTAATTTGGATAGCAGGTTTACAGACTGTCTCTTGTCCCATTTGGATAGCAGGTTTACAGACTGGTTCTTGTCCCATTTGGATAGCAGGTTTACAGACTGTCTCTTGTCCCATTTGGACAGTAGATTTACAGACTGTCTCTTGTCTCTGTTGGTCGGCAGGTTTACAGATTGTCTCTCGTCTAATTTTGACAGCAGTTAAGCAGACTGTCTCATCTCATTTGGATGGCAGGTTTACAGGATGCCTCTTGTCTCTGTTGGTCGGCAGGTTTACAGATGGTCTCTCAACTAATTTTGACAGCAGTTTAGCAGACTGTCTCGTCTCATTTGGACAGCAGGTTTACAGACTGTCTCTCGTGTCTGTTGGATGGTTGGTTTACATACTGTCTCTGGTCTCATTTTGACAGCAGGTTTACAGACTGTTGTCTCTGTTGGACGGCAGGTTTACAGACTGTCTCTTGTGTTTGTATCAGTGAGGTGTCGTGTAAAACCTTGGAGGGATTTGATGGACTGAAGACTCTGATCTACCAGGTCTGTCTCTCCATGAAGGACAGTGGTTCAGCGTGTGGGAATAGACTGCTGGGCCGACTGGTGAGTCACAGATTCAACGTCTTATCCTGCAGCATCTCCAGCTTCTCTGCTGGTTTCTACTCAACAAGGACTAAAACGAGTCAGAGTTCATCTAAAAGTCTTTTGAAATCCTGCATCGTGTTCCGACCGGACTACAAACCTGTTCCTGAAATACCTCTTTGATTTCCAGATCCCCAGGAGCTATTTTGATCTTCAGGATGCAGTGACGGCAGAAAAGAAGAGACGACATGATGAGAGACAGGTCCAGTTTCTGACTGAGACCCAATTGGACAGCATCATCGAGCAGGACCCAGGAAGTGACATCAGAGATTATGAAGACCTGCAGACTGGTACTGAGGCCAGTTCAGAATTCTGTTTGGATGTTATAACAGCTCTATGGACATTTCTCTATGGACATTTCAAACCTCTTTGATTTTAAAATAAATTAGAAAATTTAAAATAGAAAATGTGAGGCGTGACCTGGTAGTTCTCAGCGTTTGTGTTGGAGATTACTTTTTGCTACTACCACCCCACATATGTGTAAAACTGACCAGGTTGTTGTTCTATGGGTTTTTATGGTCAGTTGGCTGTGGCAGCCATCTTGGATTGCACCGTCTCCAACAGTTGATCCATTCTTCGCATTCTGGGTGTTTCATTTAAATCCACTTTGTGCTTCAGGAGATATTTTGCTGAGATTCATTTTTTTCAGAGACCAGTTTTCATGTTTTGTCCCTAACTGTGAAGCTTGAATCACTTCTCTCTTGTTTGTCTCCTTGCAGCCATCAGTTTCTTGATAGAAACAGGAAGTCTGCTGCACTTCCCTGACACCAGCCATGGCTTGTGCACGCTCTACTTCCTGTGTCCTGTGTGGCTGTCCGACTGTCTGGAGCTGCTCATTCAACTTAAGTCGTCCTGTCCTTTCGTCAGGAACGGACTGATCCAGGCCGAGGACCTCAGGGTCAGATGGAGCCATCTGAACGTTGCCTGCTGTGGACTCTGAATGGTTCCACTGATGTTCTTCATGTCTGTTGAACAGATGCTATTAGCAGAAACCGGATTCACCCAACAGACAGAGGAACAGTACTTCCAGTTCCTGGCAAAGTTTGAGATTGCTCTGCCTGCGGCCAACAACAGGTACAGAACCGAGTTCGAACAGATCCGTTTGCACACCTGGCTGTTACCTGGAGAGACTGACCCTTACAGAGGAGGGACTCCTCCTCAGTCATCATCCAGACCCAGCAAAAGTCCGCCTCCATCAGGTCCAGGGTTTCAGGGCCTAATAAAAAAAAATTTTTCTTTAACAGGAGAGTTATTATTTGTTAAACAAAACCTTCAATCTGGAAGGGAAAAACAGTTCCTTTCCTGCTGCTCCTACAGAAGCTGAGGTTCAGGAACAGCCACAAGACTTCTGGGACAGAACCAGACCAAAGGACATATGTTTACCCAGAATACAGTGCAGCACACAGCTCCACCCGGCTGTCAGCACGGTGGTGGAGGGCTGATGGTTTGGGCTCTTGTCAGGAATTCCTCTGTAGACCAAATGGTTCTGGAGAGTTGGGACTGAACTGTGACTCATAAAAACACCAGACTGAGGGTCTTCAGATGATCTCCAGAAATTTAGTGCATTTAAAATATTTTGCTAACAAGATCATTTTGCTGTACTTGTTAAAATTTAAAAAGTAGTTTGAAATTGTCTAGTAATGGTTGTTTCTTTTTTCCCCCCTTTTGTGTTTCCGTAGTTACCTGCTGCCACACCTTCTGCCTCCGAAGCCAGCCTTGGACCTTCATAACATCCACCAGCGCACCGTCAACACCCTTCAACGTCTCTTCAAGATGAGCTTCGTTCCTGCAGGATTCTGGCAGCGCTTCATCGCCAGGATGCTCATCAGCCTCACCGAGATGGACCTGCAGGTAGGGTGTTGTCCACTTCTCTTTGTTCCTCAGCTCAGAGGATTATTTCTAACTCTCAGCGTTGGTGCAGTTCTTCAATGTGTCCAAAAGGACCCCTTGGAGTCAGCAGCAGAGGCACTCTGTGATCTACAGCTTCGCTGGAGGCGAGAAGAAGAACCGATGCAGTACTTTCAGGGTCCGACGCAGCCAAACCATCTACTGGAAGGAAGGACTTCTGGTCACCTTTGATGGTGGTTACCTCAGGTCAGAGACAGGTTCCATCAGATGGATCAGAACCAGAATAAACTCCTAGAAACTAGGTTCACTATTTTTATAGCTGAAGGAAAATGTGCCATAAAACCATAAAAAGCATGATTTAGTGTTTGTGTCCATCAGGACAGGGTTCTGGTCCGTCTGCTGGAAAGGAGCCCAGAACATGAATAAATGTACCTGCAGAACCAGCATCTGTGTGAAGAATCCTTTAATAGAAGAAGACGTGAGCTTCTGCTGTGTGTCTGCAGTGTGGAATCTTCAGACGTCAACTGGAAGAAGACGAAGAGCGGAGGAATAAAGATCATCTGTCAGTCGGACACAAGAGACTTCTCTGCTGTGGCTTTCATCACAGATCACGTGAACGCTTTGATCGAGCAGTGGTTTCCAGGTCAGTTCCTCTGTCTGTGGACCAAACTGGACCTCAGGTCTTCAACTCAAACCAAAGCGCTTCAGGATCTTTCTAAGCTCTGACGGTTTTGATCTTTGCTCAGCTCTGACGGCCACAGAGAGCGACGGCAGTCTTCTCATTGAGCAGTACGTCCCCTGTTCTCTCTGCACCTCTCGGGTTCAGCAGGAGGCTGCACCGCCCCACGAGGTCATCGAGATACAAGATGGCCAACGGGGAGGCGGAGCTAGTGTTCATTACTTCAGCATGGAGGACTGCGTGCTGGCTGCTGTGGAAAAAGATTGTATCGTCTGTCCTCAGCACATGGATCAACCAGTTCCCCTGCAAGAACTGGTCCCAGAACTCTTTATGACCGACTTCCCTGCACGGTAAACTCTTTAAATTAATTTACCGAATATTTACCAGATATTTACTGGCTTTTTATAGTTTACACATTACACACGAGTGCTGTAGTTACTAATGTACTACAACAATAAAACTTCACAATTTTATTATATACCATCTTTATCATTATTATCCTATGTCAGCAGCCATCAATATAATTCAAGTCAATTCAGTTTATTTCTATAGCTCAAAGTCACAACAGAAGTTGTCTCAGAGCACTGTACAAAAACATTCACATACATTAGTAAAGACATTTAGTAAGACTTTTTTTAAAGTCTTAAGTAACTATCCATCCCATTCATGCATGTTTTTGGTCTGTGGGAGGAAACCAGAGTACCCAGAGAACTACGCATGCACGAGGAGAACATGCAAACTGCACCAAGAAAGTTCCCCGGCTGGGATTTGATCCGGCAAACTTCTCACAGTGAGGCAACAGTTCTACTGATCTGCCGTGCCGTCCACTTAAATAAATAATAAATTTACATGTTTCTATTCCAAATTTGAACAAACCACAGAAAGCTAAGAACTATGGGAATCCACAACTGAAAAAAAAGCTGATTTGAAGTGTATTTTTATGTTTTAAGCATAAAGTCCTGTTTATTTCCATTGGAGGGCGGGGCTTAATACCTGTACAGGAACTGGCCACCAGGAGGCGCTAGTCCTCTGTGGCTTCAAATTCAAGGTTCCAGTCCTGCCTCTAGTTAAAAGTACATGGTGACAGTGCATGACAGCAAATAGCGCTCAGCTCTGCTGCCGTGCACTGCACACACCCAATTATAGGTTTTAAAGTAACGTGCACATCCTGTGTGCACAAGGCTTCAAACTGATTGAGTTTTAAATGAAAACAGTTTCTGTTTGTTCGTGTGAATAAAAAAAGAAGAATTTTTTTTTTTTTTTTTTTTTTTTAACATGACTCCTTGGAAAGATATTTTAAGGAATAGAAATCAAATAGAAGAATAGAAATTGATCTTTATAGACATATAAATGTGCGGTTTATTGTGTGGACAGGTTAATGACGTGTCTCTGCTGTCTCTCAGACTGTTTTTAGACAAAGCCCAGCTGGAGTTCTGTGAAGACGAGCAGAATGTTCTGGGTCAGGGCGGCAGTGGGACCGTCATCTACAGAGCTCGATACAACCAGCAGCCCGTCGCTGTCAAACACTTCCACTTTAAGAAACTGCGGCAGCTCAGCATCACCAGTACCACAGGTAGAACTGGACTTGATTCTTCTTTTTGTTTAAAGCGATTCTCATGTCGTCACTGAGTCTATCTTGATTTGCTGGCCCTGTGCATGTTGTGTGGGGGGAAAGACGAGCTGGTCGGAGTGCAGGAAGTATGTTGGTTAGCACATTCAGGTATGCTGGCGTAATCAGATTACATTTCACGTCCTGTCATTAATCTTACAATGTTTTAAAAGACATATTGCAGTAGTCCCTCGCTACTTCTCGGTTCGTTTTGTACGGACTCGCTCTATCGTGGTTTTTCAAAGTAAGATTGGACATGACACACAATGGTTGATTGATGGATGAGCCGCACGATCGGCATGGCTTTTTTATTTAAAATAAATTATTTTAAATGATTAATATCTGTGTGCAGCCCACAGCTGTGGAAGAAACTTCCTCATAGAGCTGATCAGCGGATTAGCTGATCTCCGTGCAGAGCAGAGAAGTGGGCGTGGCCGAGAGTGCATCCAAATGTAGAGAGCTGAAATCATGACATTCTGTGCTCTTTTAGAGCGTTTAGAGTTTAGAAACATTGTTTAGAATACTGCAAGAGTGTAGGAAGGGTTTAAAACGCCTTATACTGTATATATATATATATATATATATATATATATATATAGTGTGTGTATATATATATAGTGTGTGTATATATATATATATATATATAGTGTGTGTGTATATATATAGTGTGTGTATATATATATATATATATATATAGTGTGTGTGTATATATATATATATATATATATATATATATATATATATATATATATATATATAGTGTGTGTGTATATATATATATATATATATACTAAAATAAACTACTACTTACTACTTGTACTACTATTCCTACTTCGCAGTTTTTCACTTATTGCGGGACTTCAGGGTACAGATCCCCTGTGATAAATGAGGGACAACTGTACTGTCAAGGACTTTGCAATGATCCTAGTGAAGAAAAGTGACAAAAGTGATTGTTTTTCTATAATTTTCAAATTCCTCCCAAAGGGAGGTGTGCACCTCGAACTAAGCTGCTGACTGAACATTTTGTGCTGTGGCAGTTTGCAAACATCTAAATGAAACCTACTGATTTTATTTAGAGTGGAAAAACATCATGATTTATGTAAGTTTCTGTCGAGACAAAAAGCACCAGATTCTGAACGCTCAGCTCTGTCTGAGTGTGAAATATTTAGTCTCCCGACAGCCGGTACCATCAGGTAGCACTTAACCTCAACCTGAAGGACCCAGAATACTCCATTCGAACCTGAACATTCTGTTCATGGTCACGGGACGTTCGTTTTTACATCTTTCATCATCATCCACGAGACACGGCGCAGAGCTCAGCTCCTGGGAAGCCCCGCCCCTTCAGTATACGTCATCGCAGGTTTCTTCCTGTCAGAGTCTCCACTCCGTCCCTGCAGCCACCGTTTGGCCTCAAATCTGTCATGAAGAAAGCGCCACACTTTTCAGCAGACAGACTCCATGCTATATGTGTGCACGATCTCCATTCAAGAGGTTTTGGACATTTGACTAGTTTAGTGTTTGAAGTCGTACAGCTGAATGTCTGAGCACACTGATGGGCACACCCACAAACTTCTGACCAATCACACAATATTTGGAGTGCCCACCTGGGAGAAGAAATTCTTCCCGGGCCTTGTGTCGAGAAGGGGCGGAACTACTCTGAGAACAAAATGACGTGATTTTTGTCACATAACGAGAACCAATTTCACCGCTTCAGCTGGAGGATGCAGGGAGCTTTAGTCAACAGTTTCAGGTAAGATTCAATGTCCCATTCTGGCCCCCAGAATGCATTTGACTGAGGTCCCTTGAGTCCCCAGTGCCAGGTTTCAGACTATGGGTCTGCTTCGTAGCAGGTGTGCTGCTGAGCGAGGGAAACCTGTTTGAAACGTGAACAGGTCGGTGGTGAACTGGGGGCTTAGTCTTAGCACTACGCTCACTCCAGTCTAGACCATCACCCAACCAGACTGGGGGCTTGGCTGCTCGGGGTCTGCTGGAGGAGCACTAATGGCAGCTGATCTCTGTGGCTCCAAACTGCCAGAGGGGGTCTGACTACTTCATGGTTTCTTTACACTGTTATTCATTGACTTCATTGTTACTTTCTTGAAACCATCTAAAATTTCCTGGACTGAAATTTAAAACTGAACTAGGAAGTGTCATAAATAGTGTTTTAAAGGTCGAACCCAAGGTTGAAGGCAGGACACTGAATACTCCAAAAGTCAAACATCAATATAATTTATTAAATAAATGTGCTGACGTGGCAGCAAAACTCACATTTACAGGTGATCCTGGGAAACACAGGGAGCAAGGTTGGCATGAAGAGACAATGACCGACCAACAAGGAGTGAGGAACACAGACTTAAATACACACACTAATGAGGACAATGACAATCAACTGGGAACGATGACAGGTGGGAGCAGGAAGAACACATGAAGAGGAGACAGGAGAACAGTACTAAGACACAACAGAAGAGGGGGCCAGACCTAAGAAAAACACAAACCCTACAGTACCTCCCCCCAAGGACGTCACCTGACGTCTCCAAGAACTCACCCCAAAAAATTTGGGTGGGAGGAGGGGGTAACTACCAGGATGGAGGGCAGTAGAGGAACACACTAGGAGAGAGAAAAAAACAAAAAACAAAAACAAAACATAAACCGACAAAGTGGACCTGAGAATTGAACACAAAAGGGCAAAAACACTAAAACGGGGTGGTTAGGTGGTCTGAGGACTGTCTAGTGCGGAACCATCTCTCCCAGGGACGCCTGGGAACTCATCCATAATGTGGATGCGGTTCTGGTGGGCGGCCTGGAGGCCGTCCAGCACAAAGCAGCAGTTCTGGTGTGTGGCCGGGAGGCCGTTCAACATAGGGCGACAGGTCCTGTGGGTTGCTGATGGACACCCTAAGGAACAATGACCATTCGGCACGTAGGAAGAGGAATGAAGGAACCATGGCTTCTACAGGTGTTGTCAAACCCAGGGAAACTGCAGCAGTTACCGAATCCAGTGAAAATGCAGGAGAGGGCGTAGCCATCTCTGGAGCTGCAGCAGGGGGCGTAGCCGTCTCGGGAGCTGCAGCAGGGGGCGTAGCCGTCTCTGGGGCTGCAGCAAGTGGCGTAGCCGTCTCTGGGGCTGCAGCAGGGGGCGTAGCCGTCTCTGGGGCTGCAGCAGGGGGCGTTGAGTTGTCAATGGCCAACAAGGCTGTTGACTCTTCTGCTGACGTCAACCTGGGGACTTCTGCAGATCTTGAGACCTCCGTGGATATGGAGACCACCTCAGGAGCTGCTTTGGAGGCTGTGAGACCATCCGTGGTCGTCGAAGCGTCCGTGGTCGTCGAAGTGTCCGTGATCGTCGAGTCTTCTGCGGACGTCGACCTGGGGACTTCTGTGCCCCTCCACATGTTCTGTGGGTCTTGTGAGGTGAATTGACCTCACCTTGTATCACAGACATAGTTAAAATATTTGCCAGCCAGAGACAACAACCATAAGTATATTGCAGTTCTGATGGTTCCACCTTGGGACACTATTGAACAGTCTGTTTTTTTTCATTCAACCTTTATTTATACATGTTAGTCTCACTGAGTCCTGAAGACTCATTTACAAGACAGACCTGTTTTAGACAGAAAACATATAAAGTACAGACAATAAACTACAGTAAAAATGCAATTAAAATAAAAGTGGTGTTCTAAAACGATAAATCAAGGTGCCATATAAAACAAGGTAGAATACTAAAAACATCATTTTATCCTGAGGAAAGAGTCCCAATGAAGTCAATGAGTCATAAAGTTTATTATCACAAGAGGAATTTGTTTGAGGGAAGATGCACCTGGATCAACATTTCAGCATTTTATGATCGTGAGAGGTAAACTCTCTCTTGAGTACCGAGTCGTAAACTGCTTGAACAAGGAACTCTGCTAATTCTCAGACTGTGACACCTTAATGAATTAGAAGGATAAGGAAAACACTTGAGAATTATCAGAAGAGCTGTTTTGATGCCTAAATCTTTGGTGGGACATCTTAAAGCTGATAATCTCATATAATGTCTTTCTGTGATATTGTCCAGTACAAGGTGAAAGGTAATGTGTGTGTCAGTGCACAGAACTGCAAAGAATATTAAAAGTCTGCCTGTTTTAAAACATCAGAAAAATAGTTGTATGAGAGAACTTAGTCTGAGGTATGCTTCTACAAGGAGACAGGAAGTGGTAGCTCGTTGTGTGAAACAGGTTTTTTTCCTGTGTCTCAGACACCATGGTGAAGCACCTGCAGTGTTCCAATGCGTGCCGGAGCTTCTCGGAGTTTCGTCAGGAGGCCAGCATGCTGCACTCACTGCACCATCCCTGCGTCGTATCTCTGCTGGGCATCAGCATCCACCCTCTGTGCTTCGCTCTGCAGCTGGCTCCTCTGGGAAGCCTCAACACAGTCCTGGAGGAGAAGCAGAGGGACAAAGGTGCGTGGATGTATCTGGTGTTTGACTTGAATCCAGCTCCGGTGAGATCTGAGAGCGTGCTCTTGTTTCCAGGCTGCAGCTATATGCCTCTCGGCCACATGCTGACCTTTAAGATGTCCTATCAGATGGCTGTGGGCTTGGCATACCTCCACAGGAAGAACATCATCTTCTGTGACCTCAAGTCTGACAACATCCTGGTCTGGTCTCTGCAGGTCTGTGTCCTTAAAGCATCCTGGTCTGGTCTCTGCATGTCTGTGTCCTTAAAACATTCTGGTCTGGTCTCTGCATGTCTGTGTCCTTAAAGCATTCTGGTTTCATCCTTTAAAGATTCTCAGAAATTAGAGCTAGAACTGATCTCATTTGTTAAAGTTAGTTTTTTCTTATTTTATACATTTCTTATACACTGTTTCCATTTGTTGCTGACAAATCTGAGCTTTTTACTGCAAACTCAGTGAGTTGGTTGTTGAAGGAGGCCGAGCACGGATGAAACCATGATGTCAGAGTACCTCAAAGGTTTGAACTCTTCATCTTTGTTTTGTAACATCGTCTGATGATGACCGGGAGGATCGTGGGCAGGAAGTTCACCTGAAGGTTTAGTCTGAAACTCTGCGTTTCTGTGAGGTCTGAGTCTCATGTTGTGTCTGACTGGTGCCGTTCTCTGACAGAGATCCCGGAGCCGTTCCACAAATTAAAACGCAAGAAGAATCTGGCATTAAAACTCCAGCTGCCAGTCTTTGTTTCATTCTGAAGTCAAATATTAATGGTAGCTGTGCAGCAGTTTTCCTCTGCCCACATCACCAGCAGATCATTATTACTAATCTTAATATTAATATTGTTTTTATTTTAGGACTTCAGGATGTTTGCAGGTTGGGTTCTGCAGACACAGAATATTTTAAAGTGCAGTTGTGTTTCAATCAGACTTTCAGCTCCTAAAATAAGTTGGTACAATACACCAAGCACCAGGTACGAAACGGTGAGAGGATGTCAGAGGAAAGAACTGAACGGCTCGCTCATGAAACCTTCCTGCTCCTGCTCCTCTTGTTCCTGTTCCTGCTCTTCATGCTTCTACTCCTGTTCCTGCTCCTCTTCCTGCTCCTGCTCCTGTTTCTGCTCATGCTCATCCTGCTCCTGTTCCTGTTCCAGGTCCTGGACCCGGTCAACATCAAACTGTCGGACTACGGGATTTCTCGACACTCTTTCCACGAAGGGGCTCTGGGAGTTGAGGGGACCCCAGGGTACCAGGCTCCTGAGGTCCGGCCTGGCATCGTGTACGATGAGAAGGTACTCGTCCTGAGAACAGCTGTCATTCTCTAAACGTTCTATAGAGAACAGGGAGGTCGGATGAGGCTGCTGGTTTAGACAACACCCACAGCCTGACTGATGGTAATTTACATTTAACCAAACAGATGGTCATCAAGTCCTCTGGAAACTTACTGCAGGATTAAAGAAAGCTCAGATAGAAATCAAACTGGTCCAAATAATCCAAACTGACCGTAGCAGTTTATCCCATTTCAACAGCCAGGACAAAGAGCTTTAGAGGACAGAGACTGAGACAGAACCGCAGCTGAATCAAAGTCAAACCAGCTCTCTAACAGAACAATGGATTTAGTTTTACTTCCTGTCTCATGAGCTGCTTCAGTTGTCTCACTCTGGAGGACAAACCTTTTGACTTGAAGTCCTGCAGTTGATCTGAGTCTCATCTTCCTGTCCTGTCCTCCTGAAGGTGGACATGTTCTCCTACGGCATGGTGATTTACGAGCTGCTGACCGGGCGAAGGCCGGCTCTGGGAAACCACCAGCTTCAGACAGCAAAGAAGCTCATCAAAGGCATACGGCCCATCCTGGGCAGTCCAGAACAGGTCCAGTTCTACAGCCTGCACACGTTAATGACTGAGTGCTGGGACACCAAGCCAGAGAAGGTGAGAAGGTCTCTTTGTGTTCTCTGAGGCAGGGAGCCTTTTGTCTGCAGACCATGTTGGTCCACCTGATCCACAGCTGTGGATGTTTGCAGGTTCTGGTGGTCAGGGTTGATCTTACCAGATGGTGGGACTCTGTCCTGATCATAACTCTCAGTACTCTGAGTACTCTCAGTACTCTGAGTACTCTTTATAAAGTCGTATACAGTAGTCCCTTGTTTATCGCGGGTGTTTGGGCCCATGCTCACCCACGATAAGTGAAAAACTGTGAAGTGGGGATACAAAAGTTCAAGTTCAATTCAAGTTCAGTAAACTTTGTCATGACATGTGCCAGGCTGCAATCACTCATCACCTGCAACTCTCAATCTCCCTCCTTAAATAAACAATTTAAATTGAAATACTGTAACATTTCAAATAAACAAGCCATGCAGCATGAATTGTTTATTTGAAATATTACAGTATTTCAATTTAAATTGTAGAGAAGAGAAGTGCAGCCGGACATCAAAGGGTTAACCCTTCATGCAGCTCTGCAGCATGAAACAGAAATGTACTTCTTGATCAATTACACTGAAACAACTGAACATAGAAGTTCTAAAATAATTAAAAATAACTTTTAGCACTTATGTTTTGTGATCATGACGATTTTACGATATGACACTTTGAATTTTAAGTTAGAAGACAAAAGTCAATCATGCATCTGGACAGCAATGGGTTAACCCTTCACAAAGCCAATGCAGCAGGAAAAATGTGTGCGTGACAGAGAAGATCAGCTGATCAGCTGCAGGAGGGAGATTTCTCCTGCACTTATGGGCTGCACACAGGTGCAAAATTATTTAAAATAATTTATTTTAAATAAACAATCCTTGGCTCATCCTTCAATCAGCCAATTGTGTCATGTCCAATCTTATTTTGAAAAACCGCAGAAAACGAATCACGAAGTAGCGAGGGACTACTGTATTTCCTGAATATTTCTGCTGCGATTTTACCTCTTTATTCCAGAGTTTGTTCACATTGTGTGTGTGTGTGTGTGTGTTTGCGTGCGTGCATGCATGCGTGCGTGTACAGAGGCCATTAGCCATGCAGTGTGTGAGGTGGATGCAGGAGCCCAGCTTCCCCTGCCTCAGGTATCTGTTGTCCTGTGAGAACCAGTCCCAGCTCTTCCTGTCCCCGCTGCAGGGCCACAGCGCCGTGTTCTGGCAAGGAGACAATGAGGACAGGTTGGTTCTGACTCAGCTGAAAAGAACCCAGTTCATTCTGGAACTGAATTGTAAGACCTATTTCACATGATGGACCCCCTCCCTCCCTCGACCTCTTCACCCACTTCTCCTTTTCTCATCATGGAGCTGGTGTCTGTCTGGCTGGAGACAGACTTTTTTTTTGTTTTTTTTTTTTTGTCAGAACATCAATTAATCCTGACAGTCCAAGTGATAAACACAAACTTTACATTTCAGTGTTCTGTTTTATTTGTATTGTTGTGTGTTTCACAGGAACTACAGTGTTGTGAATGTGGAGAAGGGTCAGGTGGAGGTGAAGAGGATGTTGTGTCCCGGCAGCCGCATCAGCTGCCAGATTAAGATTGGTAACACTCTGTGGATCGCCACTGAGGTATTATATCAATTACATTAATTAGTTATAAACATAACACAACCACACACAAATAAACTCCAATATCAGAAGCATTAAGTTGTTGTGTCAAATGTAATTAAAAACAAAATGCAATGATTATCAGGTCTTATAAACCCATATTTGATTCACAACAGAACTCAGTAAACACCTCAAATGTTGAAACTAAGAAATGCCATTTTTAGAGAAAATTATTTGAATCTGATTGCAGTAACTCGTCTGTAAAAAGTTGTTCAGGAGCAACTAAAGGTTGCAACAGTCAGAGGTCTGGATCAGAACCAGGAGGAACATTTAGTCACTGATGAGGTGAATTATCAGCAGGTCAGACTGGAGAGAAATAAAGACTGATAGACGTAAAGATGGGAACAGGTTCAGCATTCTGTCTAAAACTAGAGGAACAATTTCAGAATAAATCTCCTGAATGAATTTCAGAATAAAGTTCCTAAATAAAAGACTTGAATCTCCAACATCTCCAGTTCATAATCTGATCAACAGATTAGAAGAATCTACAGAAATCTCTGAGCTCGGGAGAATGAGACAATGTTCCCTCCAAAATCTCCACCAACTGGTCTCCTCAGGTCCTCCAAAACCTCCAACAACTGGTCTCCTCCGGTCCTTTAAACCATTTAACAACTGGTCTCCTCAGGTCCTCCAAAACCTCCACCAACTGGTCTCCTCAGGTCCTCTAAAACTTTTAACAACTGGTCTCCTCAGGTCCTCTAAAACCTCCAACAACTGGTCTCCTCAGGTCCTCCAAAACCTTTAACAACTGGTCTACTCAGGTCCTCTAAAACCTCCAACAACTGGTCTCCTCAGGTCCTCCAAAACCTCCAACAACTGGTCTCCTCAGGTTCTCCAAAACCTCCAACAACTGGTCTCCTCAGGTCCTCCAAAACCTTTAACAACTGGTCTCCTCAGGTTATCCAAAACCTTTAACAACTGGTCTCCTCAGGTCCTCCAAAACCTTTAACAACTGGTCTACTCAGGTCCTCTAAAACCTCCAACAACTGGTCTCCTCAGGTCCTCCAAAACCTCCAACAACTGGTCTCCTCAGGTTCTCCAAAACCTCCAACAACTGGTCTCCTCAGGTCCTCCAAAACCTTTAACAACTGGTCTCCTCAGGTCCTCCAAAACCTTTAACAACTGGTCTACTCAGGTCCTCCAAAACCTTCAACAACTGGTCTCCTCAGGTCCTCCAAAACCTCCAACAACTGGTCTCCTCAGGTCCTCCAAAACCTCCACCAACTGGTATCCTCAGGTTCTCTAAAACCTTCAACAACTGGTCTCCTTCGGTCCTCTAAATTCTCCCAACAACTGGTCTCCTCAGGTCCTCTAAAACCTTTAATAACTGGGCTCCTCCAGTCCTCGAAAACCTCCAACAACTGGTCTCCGGTCCTCCAAAACCTCCAACAACTGGTCTCTGGTCCTCCAAAACCTCCAACAACTGGTCTCCTCAGGTTCTCCAAAACCTCCAGCAACTAGTCTCCTCCGGTCCTCTAAATTCTCCCAACAACTGGTCTCCTCTGGTCCTCCAAAACTTCCGACAACTGGTCTCCTCAGCTCCCCCAAATCCTCCAACAATTGGTCTCCTCAAGTCCTCTAAAACTTCAAACAACTGGTCTCCTCAGCTCTTCCAAAACCTCCAACAACTGGCCTCAGGTCCTCCAAAACCTCAAACAGCTGGTTCCCTCAGGTCCTGGACTTTTACGGACTGATGTTAGAAGTAGAGAGGAGTCTTGTTGCTACCATCAGATTCAGAACTACCTGACTTTTTCCCTAAAAATTGTAGTTTCAAGGTTGGACATGTTTACTGTGTTCCACACAACGACCCAACTGTGGTTGTTTAATTTACAAATCCTTTTTTTAAGTGTCATTAAGGATGCATAATTCTTGTTTTGAATGAAAAATTGGTTTGTGTGAAAGGAACAGGAGATGTTCCTCTACAGTCTGAAGGACATGTGTCCACTGAATCAACCCCAGAGACATTTGTCCTGTCCGGCCGTCATCACCTGCCTGTTCCATGTTCCAGCCCAAGAGAAGGTCAGCTCCCAGCCCAACAAACACATTTATTCACAAAGGTTTTCCCCATAGAAGTCCACTGAGATGTCTTCAGATCCTTCTGAAGCATTGTTCTGCTACGTGTGAACTTGACACTTAAAGCCTCTTGGAGCAGAACATGAAGGTCAAACTATGTTCCTCACCCCTGCAGGGCCTGGCCCGAGTGTTTGCTGGGATGTCTGATGGTCTGCTGGCTGTTTACACCTTGGTGGACGACCTTCCTCTGGATGGAGAGACCTACCTGTGTTCACATACACTGAATAAAACCGTGTTTGGACTGAAGGATTCTGATCCCAGGCAGAGACCCTGTCCAGTCAAGACCATGTCTCTGGTCAGCAGTGGCTCTCAGGTGAGCAGATCCTTCCTGGCATGTTTGTTTAAAGAGACTTCATGGTTTGACACTAAAACCTCCCTGTGTTCTGGTTCCTGACTACATTTTGAGCAGTTATGGTTCTCCAACGGTCCTGGTCTCCTGGTTATCGACTCTCTGAACCTTCAGGCCATTCGAAGGCTGGACTTGTACAAACCACCTTCCTCCATAATCAGCATGGCCACCAGCTTCAGTCTGTGGGGGGAGGAGGCGGTCTGGACCCTGGATGACCACACCAATACCCTGCTGTTGTACCACGCTGCCTCATACGAGCTCTGTGCCACGTACTGGTAAGTCCAGCTGAACTGTTCAGCACAGCAGAGGTACCGTCATGATGTGTGGTTGAAAACAAACACGTCACTGTAGAGAGAATTTCATCTTTAAAAATACACTGGTCCTCTCAATAACTGGCAGCCTCAGCAGATGAGAACTTTTAGACACCGACTGAGTAAACAATTTATTAGTTGTGAAAAGAGATAAAAAAGTTGGGTTTATTATTTTGACAGTATCTTTATTACATGGTTTCTGTTTGATAACACTGCCCATTTTTATTCTACATAAAATAAAATAAAAATTTGTATAGAATAACATTGGGGGGAAAAAAACACAACAAATACATTGTGTGATAAATAAACAAACCCAAAGAAACAAACAAAAACAGGAAGAGCACCACGTGTGTCTTAGTTTGCTATTCTAGGTAATTTGAGATTTGCTGCAATTTTAAGGAATTAAGTCTTTCCTGTACTTCCATGGTAGTTTGTCCGGTAGTTTTGAGGTTAAATATTTTCACGATCTGTTAAAAGTTCTGTCTGCATCTGTGGATTCTTTGAAAACCGCCCCCTCATGTTCTATCAAAGAAATACAAACATGCAACAGAAATGCTGTTTGCTACAGGCTATTGTTTACATGCTACGCATTACTGGCTACATGATACTGGCTACATGGTATGTGCTAATGTCTACATGCAACATGCTACTTGCTACATGCTACTGTCTAAATCAGGTTCAGGTCTCTCTTGTAAATGAGTCCTCGAGGCTCAATGGGATTTACCTGTATAAATAAAGGTTGATTGATAAATGCTACTGGCTACACCCTATCTACATGCTAATTGCATGATCCAGTAATCAAAAGTTTCATGGTGGACACGTACTGAGGCGTCAAGCTTCTTGTTTCTGTCCTGTTTTATTTTTAAACTGTTAAATCTGATTTTCTTGTTTTAGAATCAAAATCGGAATCAGCTTTATTGTCATTGCATAGAGCACAACAAAATTACATTTCAGCACAGCCCATCTGAAGAACCACAAACAAACAGACACAGACTTGGGTAGACGGGGTGACTGAGGCGCAGCCTCTGAGAGACGCTCCTTTTTTGTTAGATTAGAAAAAGGGGGACACAAGGAAAGATGGGGGCAAAAAAATGATCTTGCATTGTGTCCTGCAGGACACAGCATGAGGCTGCAAAAAAAAAAAAAAAAAAACACATAAAAAATGCAACATAAATAGACATAGACATATGTGTGTGGAATGGGTGGGGGATGGGGTCCCAGTACAGTCGCCAGGTGAGCAACGCAGTCATTGGCACCCTTGCATCTCCTAGGTTGCTGCACCAGGGTAGGGGCAATGAGAGTGGCCAGCGATGGCAGGAGTTTGAGGAGCCAGAGCCTTAGAGTTTTAGTTGAGGATCAGAAAATAATTCCAGTTTAAATCAACTGGATTTCTGGGTGCAGTTTCCTAAGATCTTGTTCTGCTTTCAGCTGCGGGGATAGCAGTCCCTTACGTGACGTCTTTACCGTGCATCGTCCTGTAGGAGTTGCCACGGTGACGGCTGATGAACCCAAATCCTTGTACCAGACTGGGAAGCTGGAACAGACCAACAGAGAGGTGACTGTGATCCACAGCCAGGAGGCAGGGACTCAGATCATCCAGCACCAGGACTCGTTGACGGACTACTGCTCCGTAGGGTCTAAATCTTCAGTGGAACCATCAGACCTGGACTCTCTGAACCCCACAGACTGCACTTTGTCCAACAGTAGCAGCTGTGTGCTGCAGAATACAGAACCTGATGAGTCAGGCGGGGACCAAGACCAGCAGCTATCCAACAACACTGATCCTGGACCTGCAGAGACCAGAACGTCCTCAACATCTCAGCTACTGCAGGCCTTCACTCTGCTGCCGGTGAAGGGGACTCTGTGGATACCCAGGTACAGCAGAAATGTTTCATTAAAATAACAATATTTAAATCCAGTTCTGAGACCAGGACAACCCTTTAAGATTTCATGTAATCTGAGTAGTTGGTAGCAGAAGAAATAAGGGTCTGATGTCACCTGAAACTTTGTTCTCTGAAGCCCAACAGGAATTCAGGACTTCCTGTTTTCATAATATTATCTGTGACAGAGCCAGACTCTTATTTAGAAACAAGTGACCTTTATTTCGTAAAACTCTGACAAAATGGACAACGTTTTAATGTATAATCTGTAGAAGAGGAGTAAAACAAACCTAAATCAAAAAACTGTTGTCAGCTTCCAGCAGATCATCAGGATCACCATGGTAACCACACACCTATGTCTGACAGTACTCTTTTTCAGACAGACAGACAGAAACACAGAGTAAAAAGGAAGTTTCAGACTCTGATCTGTAGATCCAAACAGGATTGTTTTTTCCCATTCCATGGGCATCAAAGGGGCCATTTCTCTGTTTCTTTATGTTTTATCTGAGTCGTAGGATGTTTTGCTAACAGAAAGCTGTGGTCCTCGTGGAGTCTTAAGGGTTTTTAATCTGCATGAAGGTGACAAACTAAAAGCCATGGTTAATTGGTTAACAGCTGAAACTGCAGTGCGCTGCAGGTGGACAATGTCCACACGTCTGTCCACACGTCTGTCCACCTGTCCACACACCCAGTCTGATGGAAAACTTGACTCTATAACGCAACAAGCAACAAACTGAAGGAGTTTGAGTTGTTTTATGAAATAAAAGACGTAGAGACGAGAAAAACTGAGCTTCAAACACTAAAAACATACAAACGATCCATATTTAATGTCTCTCTTTGTTTGTGTCTCTGTGTGTGTGTGTGTGTGTGTGTATCTGTGTGTCTTTCTGTCTCTCTCATTGTGTGTCACTGTGTCTCTGTGTGTTTGCCTCTTTGTGTGTTTCTCTATGTGTGTGTGTGCGTGTGCGTACGTGCGTGTGTGTGTTGTAGGCGTAGAGGGGACGTGGTGATTGTTGAGATGCAGTCTCCGGACGGTAATCAGCTGAAGGGATGTGTGGTCGCTGTCCTTCGTCCACCTGGATTGTCTTCTCTGGGGTGAGTTCAGATTTAATGTCCCTCAAAAAACAATTTGGTTTTACAGCAATCATAAAAAACACAAACTACAAAGACAACAACAATAAATCATAGATGTTTTTGTTCAACTCTGTAAATAACATGCGAGATGTAACGTTCAGGATGACTCTCAGCTACTATCACATCTAACGGTTCTGTCTTTAGTTCACAGCTTGATAGATTAAAGCAGAAAAAAATCTTTTGACTGAAAACATTTCTACAGCTAGAGGTTACCCAAAGACTGAGAACTTTAATCCATGCAGTTCTGTCTTTAGCTGAGGGTTTTGTTTTTAGCTGATAGTTCTGTCGTTAGCTGAGGGTTTGGTTTTTAGTTGAGGGTTCTGTAATGAGCTTACAGTTCTGACTTCACCTGACAGTTGTGTTTTTAGCTGACGATTTTGTCTTTAGCTGATGGTTCTGTCTTTAGCTGACAGTTCTGTCTTAAGGTGAGGGTTTTACCTTTGGTTGAGGGTTCTGTCTTTAGCTGATTTTTCTGTTTTTAGCTGAAGGTTTTGTTTTTAGCTGAAGGTGTTGTATTTAGCTGACAATTCAGTCTTTAGCTGACAGTTCTACCTTTAGCTGATGGTTCTGTCTTTAGCTGATGGTTCTGTCTTTAGCTGATGGTTCTGTCTTTAGCTGATGGTTCTGTCTTTAGCTGATGGTTCTGACTTTAGCTGACAGTTCTGTCTTAAGGTGAGGGTTTTGTCTTTAGTTGAGGGTTCTGTTCAGTTTTTAGCTGAGGGTTTTGTTTTTAGGTGAAGATGATGTATTTAGCTGATAATTTTGTCTTTAGCTGACAGTTCTATTTTTAGCTGACGGTTTTGTAACTGATGGTTCTTTCTTTAGCTGAGGGTTCTGTCTTTAGCTCATGGTTCTATCTTTAGCTGACAGTCCTGTCTTTAGTTATCAATTTTGTCTTCAGCTTAGGGTTCTGTCTATAGCTGATGTTTCTGTCTTTAGCTGAGGATTTTGTATTAAGCTGAGTATTCTGTCTTTGCTGAGGGTTTTATCTTCAGCTGATGGTTCTGTCTTTAGCTGATCTGTATTTTTAGTTGACAATTTTGTCTTTAGCTGACGGTTCTGTCTTTAGCTTATCTCCTTTCTCTCATCTCGTGCTGTCAGGACTCTGGCGGCGGCGGCGCTGGTGGCAAAGGACACGGTTGTTTGTGGTTTCCAGAGGAAGGACTCGGAGTGGACCCTGGTGGTCTGGAGGTCCTGGGGCTGCTGTGAGCTGGAGGTCTTCTTCCACTCCTATGAGAAGCTCGGCTGCTTGGAGGTCAGCATGAGAAATAGAAGGTAGCAGGAAGAGAACTGAAGGGGGTCCAGACTGATGTAGCACCAGAGCGAACCTTTAACCCCCCACCGAGACCTGAACCCCACAGGACACAGGAGGGACCAGAACCTCTGCAGACAAGAACTAAAAGATGCTTTAACGACTTGAATGTTGTTCATCTGGAGTCCATGAAGTTCTGAAACTTTCTGACCTCTTAACAGAGCTGAACTCACAGGCAAATCCCTCTCCCTCCCCTCCTTGCTGAGGTTAACAAATCTCTGCCGTGGACTTCACCTCTAACAAACAAACAAATGTTTTTATCGTAGTTGGTTTGAAGAAAGTGGTCAAACACAGTTAATTCTTTGATTCTTGTCAGAGTCTGGAGGATCCGTTCTTTCTGAGGTTTCTAAGATCGGACTTTAAATAGGACTTGGATCCACTTAGTTTCACCTGCAGGTGGGTCGTTGGTCAGGATCTGGTTGAAACGGGACAGAAACTTGTTGGGTGATTAAAACTGTTGTTTTGAGTTGTTGGTCCAAACTGTCCGAGTCTTTTTACTGGATCAGGACTTCCTGACATTCAGGCAGGTAGAATCTCATCATAAACCTTCGTCGTATTAATAAATTCTAAAACAAATTGTTTGGAGGGAAGTCTTTGAATTTGGATACTTTGGACATGCAGTATGTTGGACAGTTTATTCCTGAGTATGGAGTGCCAGGGGGCCTTAAGGTCTATCTGGTCCCTGTAGAACCAAACCAGGAGCTGTGTCCACATCCTCTGCACAAAGTCAAGCTCGTTCTTGGTGCAGGTTGGACTCCATCCATCCATCCATTTTCTTTGCCCGCTTATTCCATTTTGGGTCACGGGGGTCGCTGGTGCCCATGTCCAGCAATCACTGTGCGAGGGGCGGGGTACACCCTGGACGGGTCGCAAGTCCATCACAGGGCCACATAGAGACAAACGAGACAAACAAACATTCACTCTCTCACTCACACCTAGGGACAATTTAGAGTTACCAATCAGTCTAACATGCATGTTTTTGGTCTGTGGGAGGAAACCGGAGTACCCGGAGAAAACCCACGCATGCACGGAGAGAACATGCAAACTCCACCCAGAAAGCAGGTTGGACTCATCAAAGACTATCCTTTGTGTCTGGTCCTGTTTGTGGCCTTCATGGACAGGATCTTAAGGTGCAGTCGTGGGTCTGGTTTGGGAACCTCTGGGTCTTGGCTCTGCTTTATGTGGATCATGTGATTCTGTTGGGTGTCTTCGAGCAGTGACCTTTAGCGTGCCCTGGGGTGGTTCTCAGCTGAGTGGGAGGCCACTGAGATGATCTTCCTTCATAGGGTGTGGGGGCTCAGCCTTAAAGATCAGGTGAGGAGGTCGTCACCCAGGAGGGAAAGAATTGCTGCTGTATTTAAACATTGATCTTCACAGCAGGTGATCTAAACTTTATTTTAAAAACGTTTAAGTTATTCTGGAAGGAAACTGAGGTTTCTTCAGTCGCCTCCAAACCAACCAGTTTCATCAGATGCCGGAGTCCGTTTGGTTCTGAGTTGAAGAGAAGACCAGAACCTGTCAGAGAAGACTTGTGGTCTATCAGGGTCTTAGTTGTTCTAACACGGTCTCTGTTGGTCTATCAGTCTTTGTTGGTCTATCAGGGACTTTGTTAATTTATCAGGGTCTTTGTTGGTCTACCAGAGGCTTCGTTGGTCTATCAGGGTCTTTGTTGGCGTATCAGGGTCTTTGTTGTCTATCAGGGTCTCTGTTGGTCTATCAGGGACTTTGTTAATTTGTCAGGGTCTTTGTTGGTCTACCAGAGGCTTCGTTGGTCTATCAGGGTCTTTGTTGGCGTATCAGGGTCTTTGTTGGTCTAACAGGGTCTTCTTTGGTCTATCAGGGTCTTTTTTGGTCTAACAGGGTCTTCTTTGGTCTATCAGAGTCTTTGTTGGTCTATCAAGGTCTTTGTTGGTCTATCAGCCCTCAGAAAAGAGGGGAGGAAGTGATTTGCCTGGAAGTTCAGCTCGTTGCAGTTTAAAAACTTCACATTTATGATTTTGAACAGAGAAAACTATTGAATGAGACGAGGAACATCTGTAACAAACCAAAGAATTTTGATCCAGTTTTACCTACGAGACAGAACCAAAGTTCTGTACAGACTACAGAGCAATAAATAACGACAAAACGGGTCCTTCTGAAGTCAAAACCATTCAAATGGACTCTTCACATCTCCTTGTTCTGGCTAAGGATCTGCACCAACGGAACCTCTGCAGCTGTAGATGGGTCGTACAGAACATGAGCGGTTCCACATGGCTCCGTCCTGCAGCCCTGCAGGACTGCAGAACTTGACAGGTTCTATTGGGTTCTAGCTGATGTGCATTGTTCTCTTTAAAGAACTTTACAGACTTTGAACAAAGTTTTTTGTTCATATGATGTTTTTTATCTCCTCCTTTAAAGAACTTCCTGTTCCTGACGGAACCCGTCAGGGCCCGTATTTAAACCCAATGGGTTCTGAAGGAACATTAAAGAATATTTCAGGTTGTTCTGAAACTGTCTTTTTTTTTTTAAATATATTTTGTATTAAAGCATGTTCTCTAAATAAATAACAGTTCTGGTTCTGATTCTTTGGATTTCTCAACACAAACTGTCGTTTCAGACCACCACTGACTGGACCTGGTCCCTGGCCCACATGGGGACTGAATCCTGTCCTGGTTTGTGGAGACTGGATCCTATCTTGGTTAGTGGGGACTGGAACCTGTTGGTTCATGGGACTGGATCATGTCCTGGTTTGTGGGGACTTGATCCTGTAGCCACCTGTAGGAACCCAGTCTGAACCAGGCCACCTCAGACCAAAGCTGAATGAACTATATTACTGACCCATCCTGTCAAATCAGGCTTGGAGAGAAAATGAACTCAATTCAGCTTCATGTGGATCCCCAGATCATCCTGAGGTCAGGAGCAGTTCCAGACAAATTGTTCTGAATCGTATTTTAGATTCTGAGGATTTCTTGACATCATCTGAAAGAGGAAACCTCAGACCAGATTAAGATTTCAGGATTTCCAGCTGCTGTTGCAAAACGTTCTTTTGGATTATATTTTAGAGATTTCCTTCAAGAGACCAACGGAGAAATTGTTTACCATCCAGCTGCAGAGCACCGGAACTTGATCCTGGACACGACGGGTCACGTTTGATGTTCCAGTTAGGCCAACATCAAGTTCGTAACTCCTCCCACTTTTAATCTGCACTCCGTCAGTCTCGTGATTCCCGTCAGTTGAGTCCAATAAGTCTTAAAATTCTGGAGATGGTTAAGACGTTGGTGTGTCTTCAAATTAAAGTTTGAACTTGAATTTGTGCAAGCAGGAAGTCGAAGAGAAAACTTTTCTGGTTTAATCACTGATTCAGTAAAAACGAAATGGAGAAAGTAAATTATTTTGTTTCCTTTTATTCATATTATTGACGTAACAAAACTGATATGATCAAAGACCAGTTTCAGTTCTTGTCGTTCGGACCCTTCAGGCTCGTGAGCTACAGCAGCTTCACACTTTAGGTCCTGTCGGACTGGTCGGGTTCTGGCTTCGCAGTCGTTGGCAAATCTTTTCAGAGTTCATAGGAAGGTCTCCATGGCAACGAGCAGAACTGAAACCAGGTGTTCACCTGCGGACACACCTGTTCAGGTCTTCACCCAGTTCAGTCTGCTGGGACCCAGAACCCACAGAGGTTATGTTTTTACACACACTGAAGCAACCTCAGGAACCAGTTCTGAGCAGGAATAAAGGAAACAAAAGTTTCTTTTAACAGCAGAACCATTCCGGACTTGATTCAAACAGAATAAAAAAGGCTCCGCCCACACGACTCAACTCAAAAACTAAACTTTTAGATTCATCACTTGCAGCCCCGACAGGTGGACGATCATAAACCACTTCATCAAAACACCATAATCATTGGATGTTCATGTCAAGATGGCCACCACAGCTACTGGACCAAACACAGATGTTTTACAGATGCTTGGTGTGGTAGTAGCTGAGAGTCACCCCAACATGACGATGGCTGAGAACCGTTTACAACTTCGGCCAGCGGGCGACAGGCATTTCTTCGGTAATGTCAGCTTTATAATGAAAGACCTTGTTTAGGCTTTGTGTTCGTTTGATTGATAATCAGAGCCTTTAGCTAAAATCGAGAAATGTAGACGTTCTTGCCGCCTCGTGGTGCATTGTGGGTAAATGAGGGTTCCTGCTGAACGTGTGGAAGGAGGAGAAAACAAACTCACCGGATAATGAAACACTTCAAATCCAGCACGAAGAAAAAAAAACAACACAAAAATATAAAAGTGTTAAAATGTTTACGAGTAAAAATAAAAAAACACCATAAATCAGAGTAGAGCGTTGGGAACCAGAACCCAGCGGATCAGAATCTTTAATGTCACCACAACACCAAGCTGTCCTCATCCAGCTGTTCAGGTGGGGCACTTTTTTTAACACACCATCCATCCTCAGAGTAGTTTATTATGGATGGATTACGAAGTGGAAACTGGTACCGGGTGTGCGAAGTTCTGAGTGTTTGGGCCCAGCGAGCCATGTGGTCGTATTTTACAAAATAAAATATTTTCTTGTGCACGGCTTGTAAAACTTGTTTTGCACAGTATTTTGATGAACACTCGTCCGCCTTATGATTCAGTCTGCTGGAGTAGAAATGGCAGACCTGGACCAGGTTTTACTATTTTACTCCCCATGAGAGTGGGTTTAGACCTGGACATTCAGGCCATAGACTCACGTGGTTTGAGGAGACCCAGGTCTAGATCTATGGAGACGGGTTTGAGACCCCACCCCCCTCAACAACTCAGAGAAATTTACATTTTTAAAACTTGTTCAAAACTCGAGAGTGAACTGTGATCGAGTGAGGATGCCGAGAACGTCAGCAGACTCCATCAGGTCCACCTGAGTCTCCAGCAGACTCCATCAGGTCCACCTGAGTCTCCAGCAGAGTCCATCTGTTTTCTCTGCTCCAAATAGTCTGTTGGTGTCATAATTAGCCTGGCATTTGTTGTAACGTGGATTTCGAAGTGGGTGACAAAGAGTAAAATTTTACAGAAAATGTAATTTACTGCCAATGAATTTAAGGAGACACTCTGCTTAAAATAACGCCCCACCACCACAGTGTCCATCTGTCCAACATTTAACCATCCGAAGAAGCCCGAGTGTCTGTCCATCTGAAGCTCAGGCTCTCCGTCAGCTCATCAACATTTCCGAATGGTTTTAAAACTAAATGTTTAGAAACAACAGTTTGACATCTTCAGTGAAAAATAAATAAACGGTAAAATGTTTGGTTAAAAAGGAAGTGAAGACGAGGCGTCTCAGGCTGTCCTGACTGAGCCGTTGTTGGTGGCCAGCCTCCTGAAGCTGTGGTCGTTCTTCTCCAGCCAGAGTTCTGCCAGCTGCTGGGTGGAACCGTAAGACGAAGCTTTGGAGCCCAGGCACATCTTGTACTGCTTCGCCTCCAGGTTCGGGTCACAAAGAACCGGGTGGTGGACGTGCACTATCCCTGTGTCCGAACTCCTGAACAGCCTGACCCCTGACTGGACGAACTTATTGTAAAGGTCAACGTCCTCCAGGCCCCAGCCCTGGATGGAGGTATCAAAGCCCCCGGTTCGGACCAGGTCTCCCTTGTAGACGCAGACAATGCCGAAGCCGTAGGTCCTCCAAAGACCCGTTTTTGAGGTGAAGACATAATGGTTGTTGCTTGGAACCTTCCCTGTGTACACCACTTTAGGATCATACTGGCTGAAAATGATGGGGAAGTAGGCCTGCCTTCCCAAGGCGGCGTTGGTCCGGCAGCGCTTCAGAAAGTCACTGGAGAACAGCAGGTCCACGTCGCAGTAGAACAGCAGGGAATCATTGGAGAAGTGTAAGGAACCCACTTCCAGAGCCAGAGCTCTGGAGAAGGAACCGGCTACAGGTTTGATCTCCATCTCAGCCCGAGGATACTTCAGGTGGTACTCCCTCATCAGCTCCACCTGTTTGACCCGCTCAGTGTTGTTGTCGGTGCTGAACAGCAGGATCAATAGTTTCACGTTCAGGTTGGGGATCAAACAAACCTTTTCAAAGTTCGACATAAAGCGAACGAAGATGTCATACCGCCCCGACAGAGGAACCAGAATGTTGACCTTGTCTTCCTTCGGTTCCCTCTGGTCTTGTCCAGAAGTGGCTAGCTTAAAGGGAACCAGCATCTTCAGGGAGTTGGACAGGAACGACAGGGAGTCGGACTCCTTGTTGATGTGGCTAGCTAAAGCCCTGGCATCCATCTCCTCCTCCTCTCTGAACTGGATCTGGCTGAAAGTCTGCTGAAGGTAAGCGTGTCTCCTCACAGGAACTGTCATGGTCTTTCCTTTGTGCTTCTTGTAGAGCAGCAGCAGATCCAGAACATACTCTGCCCCATATAATGGGTTCAACCTTCGATAGCCATACTGGATTTCCTTAAAATCGATAACACGGCCCCGCGTCTTGGCGTTGGCGTTGATCATCTCCATCACCTGCATGATGATGTCATCCAAGGCCTGCCTCTGAGAGGAGTCCATCCCACGGCGTGGCGGCTGACTGTCGGACGATGAAAACAGGTACTTTCCTGTCAGAAACTCCCACTCGAGGACATCCTCCCTCTGATGAGGATGAAAACGCATGAATGAAGGAGGCATGCCGAGCTGCAGGTCCTCTCGGCTGGGCTCGGCCGCACCGTAGCGTCCCATCTGGACTATCTCCCTGTGGAGCTGGATGGTTCGGTGGCGTAGGTCTGCAATCTTGCGGCTGAGCATGTAGCTGTGTAAGCGATACTGGTAGGGGGGGTTCTTGTTGGGGTGGAGGGTGATGGCCCGATGGATCTTGCTGTTGTGCAGTTCTCGGATGTAGCCCTTCTTGTTGGGTTCATAGTTCTCGTAAAAGAGTTGCTGCATCTGTGGAAACAGAACAGAACACATTAAACTAACTGTCCATAAAACGTCTCGTTAGAACAAGAAGGACAAAAAGTCAGGTCAGAGGCGAAGCAATGACGTCATTTTTAAAAACTGTGCTTTGGCTGTTCACATGAAAACAGGGAGGCGTTTTTACTCTGGAACTTGATTTCTGAGACTCCTAAAATAAAATGTCGCTTCTGTGAGGCTGAAACGAGATGAGCTGATGAGATGCTGTTGTGACGTTGTCAATGTGTTGTGTGTTGTTATGAGTTTGTGTTGTTGTGAGTGTGTCAGTGTGTGTGTTGGTTTTGTGTAACCACGTCTGTCAGTTAATTTTCCCAGAGAGAGACAGGAGATAAACACTGATGTCAATACAGGAGTTTATGCTGAGCACAAGAACAATACAACAACGGAAACAGCCTGGAAACGACACTGAAGGTTTCTGACAAACTGCGATGTTGAGTTTACAGAGCTGGTAAGTTTTGGAGTCAAATCAGTTTAAGATGGCTGCCACCACAGCTAATCAACATTAGCCAAAAATGGCTTCAATTCTGTCAGTTTTACACATATTGAGCTGTGGTAGTAGCTGAGAGTCAGTAACAACTCTGAGTGTCATTTTTCATCAGAGGACCTCAGTCTAAATCTGTGGCCTGAAAGGTGGCAGGTGACAAGCATTCCTTCCTGGCGAGATTCTTTTAGCGTACCGTTTGGCGTTCGTTTAGCATATATCTTAGTTTATATCTCAGATCCTTATTTACGGTTTCTTTTTACACTTTATATTTTTGCTATTGCTTGATTAAACTGGAACCCTGTGTACACAATTTCGTTCCACTACATGTACCACATGTGATGCAAATGACAAAGAATCAATGACTCTGACTCTGAGCTGGTTAATAACCCAAATAACTCCACGGTTAAATACTGATGATAGGAGGCCGAGATGGTGTAGAGGCAGGGCAGCCGGCTCGGGACTCGAAAGTCCCAGGTTCGATCCCCGGTCACCGCATACCTCGTGGTGTCTCTGGGCAGCACACCTTATCCCCAAAATGCCCCCCGGGCACTTTCAATAGCTGCCCACTGCACCACCTGGTGGTGGATAGGTTAAATGCAGAAACTAATTTTGCCATTGTATGGAAACATACAGTGATGACAATGTGATGATATTATTATTATTATTATGATTGAGGCTTCATAACCCCTCACAGCATACATGTCGAACCCCCGGCTCGTAGTCACAGAGGAGGAACCGTCTGCGAGACTTCGACTGTCTGCACAGAAACCACAGGCATGCCCCTGCTTCATTACTTGAAGGCAAAGAAAGCAGAGGCGTTCAACCAGGCAGAACTGGTTTAATGTGGATGAAGCTGAGTGGAGAGCAGCTGCATGCCTGTGGCTCGAAAAGCTCAAAGTCAGACAAGATAAAACAGTTAAACTCGTGGACAACTTCAGACCCATCCTAACCGAGGACTCACCAACACCTGCAATCTGCTGGTCTTTGCCCGCTGAAATTCATTCAGAACTCACCACATTCTAAAGTCCATACTCCCGTTTGTCCCCAATATCATTTGTCTTTGCTCTCATTTGTCCCCGCTCCCGTTTGTCCCAGCTCAGTGACCAGGTTCTGTCTCAGAATGTGTGGAAACAGGACCGTTTAATCGGGCGTCGGCTGCAGCGACGGTGGTTTCCACTCGGATGTAGGCGTTCTGCTGAATGAACAGCATTGATAAACCTGAAGCAGGCATGTGATCAGAACATTGATCCGTTTGAGTCCCGGAACCTCGGTGATCCCTGGATGGTGACCTTAAGGCTCTTAGAGAATAATCTGCTGTAATTGGATGCTGCAGGTTTAGCAGCAGGTTCTGCTGGTTCTGATGGTGATGCAGGTGATTACTGTGGATGGTAACTGGTCCAACCTCAGGGCTACTGCTCCACCCTCCTCCTCCTCCTCCTCCTTCTGTGATGGAGCCAGTTTGGTTAATTGTTTTCTAACTTGCTATATTTTTTTTAAATCAACAATTTAAAATCCATGTAAAATTGTGATAAAACCGTGATTTTACTGCAAACAAATCATTTATTTTTGCCGTATCGTCCACACCTTTATATAGCTGCAGTATTTGTTGATATTTTTTTTAATATTTTTTAATTCTGTTATAAAAGTTGGTTCTTGTGTTCAGCTGTGGTTTACTGCAGGATGTCTGAGTTCCACCACCGATGACGCACATCAGCCTGCTCCATCAGGCATGTTTAAACCACCACCTCCCTGACCTCAGCCTCAGGTGATGTCAACAGTTTGACTGATTTAGTTCTGGATCTGGACTTGAATAAACAGAAGACATACCAAATTTAAAAAAAAAAAACAACCTCCTACCTCGTAGGACCAGACACACTGGACCCTGGCAAATCTCCTCACACACCGGCCCACCTCTACGTCTTCATGGGTGGTGTACATCTCCTGCAGACACTCCCGGATGTGGGGTACCATCCTCTTCAGGACCTCCCGGCTCATGATGACACCAGGACCCCCCATGCAGAAATTCTCCCCGGGCTCCAGAGCCAGTTTTCCCAGTTCATCACGGGCCCCCATTCCCGTCTGGCCCAGAAAGATGGCCTCGCTGCTGTTCAGGCTTCGAAGGAAGCTCTCTAGCTTCTCGCTCTTGATGTAGACATCGTCATCGGCCCTCATGAACCACTCGTACTTGTCCAGGTAGTGGTCATGCATGTACTTCAGCATCATGAAGGACTTCTTCTGAGGCGGGTATGAGTCGTCCACATTCTTCAGAGCCACAATGGGAATAGGTATGGAGGTATCAGAGCCCTCACTGGAGAAGAACTCCACACGACCGGGAATAGTTTGTGCCCATGTTCTGTAAACAAACATATCATCAGGGAGATGTCGGGCAACAGCAAAAAAAAATCATTAGAAAGGTTTTCAGGGAATTTAAAAAGGTTACAACACAGCTTCTGTTCAAAAGTGGAACTTCACTTTAATAATTGTTGACATTCTGATGTATAAACTATAGAAGAACAGACAGAACCAAGGTCTGAAGAATTGTTAACATGGATCATTAGGACCTCAGCAGCTTAGCCTGGTCCTCATGCAGGATGGAAGTCCTCATCCAGCAGCTTCTTCTCTGAAGTCCACATTTGCTGTCTGAGGACAAAACAACCGCTGGACTGGTTCAGATTTATCGCTTGTCACGCAGAACTACCTCAGCCCTAATGCACAACATTCGGTACTTGTAACCATTAATCAGTAGTTCCAAGTGGCTAAAAAGTGCAGTTCTGTCACAAAAATGTTAATTTATGGAGCACATTTCTGATGATGTCAGATGGACTAATGTGCTGTACAATAAATGAAGCTGTTTTGGAACCGAGGTGTAATCAACATCCAGCAACATTTGCACCAGATTTGTGTAACATTTGTGCAATACTGTGCAATTTCAAGTGAAAATTTGTATTTTTTTCTGAAAATTTTCCTCCAGCTTTTGCAGCCTGGTGAGGAACTGGTTGAAGTATTGAGTACAAGTATTGAGATGGTTCTTCATTAAGTTTAGAATTCAAATCTGAGGGGAGGTTTAAAAAAACAAAAACAACAGTGGAAATTATTTTCAGTTTTAGGCAAGTAGGACGTTCATGAAACCACCAACAGTTTAAAGATACTAAAACACTAATAATCATAAAACAAAATATTCTGGCTTTGAGTCAGCCGGTCAGTGATTGTGGCCATGGTATATCAGAATTCTGCTGTTGCAACCAATGTATATTAGCATTCTAACATCTTCTTTCGGCTTCTCTCTTCTTCAGGGGTTGCCAAAGCGAACTAAATTGCACAAAGACTTGGCAATTGTTTTTACACTGGATGCCCTTCCCGACAACCACAGACCACAGAGTTGCCACAGCCCTCTGTGTGGAGCAGAGCTGCCATCTAGGGCACCCAGGGGAGCAGATGGTGGGGGTTAAGTGCCTTGCTCAAGGGCCCAGAGTGGGGCAAATGAGGGTGGAGGCAGGTGTTGGTGTTTCACATTTACCACACAGTTTTTGATATTTCCTGTCTGGGGAGTTAAATCGGCAACTTTCCGATCACAGGTCCACCTTCTCTAACCTCTGCGCCACCACTCCCCTAGCATTCTGACATTGTGACAGTGGTATATTAGCATTCTGACATTGTGACAGTGGTATATTAGCACTCTGACATTGTGACAGTGGTATATTAGCATTCTGACAT